TCTCTCTTTCAGGATGGCTTCAGGTACAAAACACTGACATGATAAAATGCAGGTAATGAGTTGATCATTTCAATAACATTGCAAAAACCCAAATCTATAGGGTCTATAACAACAACAACAAAAAAAACAAAAAAAACAAGGGAAATATATTAGACAAATTATTACATAAAATTAGATCTCAATTTAAGCACAAACAGAACAGTAGAGACATGAAACAAGGACGTTGGACCAGAGTTAAAACCAGAAGTATGATCTAATGCAGACTTTAGGAAGGACAGATATTTAGTCAAATATATGGCTAAAAATATTCTTACCAAACATGCTCCCACCAACTGAGTGTAATGGTCACGTTTGTTTTTTTCTTCCAGTGCACTGGTTTCTAAATCTATAACAAGAAAATAATTCAATAAACGAATACATTAATTTTGTTCACTGCTTAGACATAATATATTGGGTAGTATGACCATTATTCAAAACATGAATGATTACCTAGTATACAAAACACATCTGCTAAAATTGATGGCATGTCATCTCTGAGTGCCTAAAAAAAGAAAACAGGAGTTCAGGTTTGGTTTAAAATAAATTACAGGCACATTAACATACAACCATTAAAAAACAATTAAATGGAAATGTTTTATTGTTAACCAAACCTGCATAAATAACCCAAGTAAACTTTAAATAGGGATGAAAAAAAGCACCCCACCACATTCAAGTTTCACACCACATCAAATAATAAAAATAAAAAATAAAACACAAAGAACAAACCTGTCAAAAATGTAAATTTCACACAGAATAACAATCTGTTCTGATTTTACAAGCTCTTCTATGTGTTTGATGTCATTAACTCTGAATGTAAAAACACAAAACAGAAGCATGTGTACCATCAAGTCGCCAAGGACACTGGCACCAAGATCCCACTTCAGGTTCCCCTGAACAACTTGCCAGGAGAGCTCATAAAGGGCGGCCTGTATGTCTGCAGAGGTAAAAACGACAAGACACAAAATACAAAATTTGATTGACAACACAACTTCTTGGTTTATTTTATTATCTTTAAAATCACATTCTGTATTTAAGCTCCAGCTGATCAGAAAAGCCCAAGACTCATGTACACCAACAAGCACAAAACTGTAGAAAAATAAAATCACATTTGACTTACCTTTAATTTCACTTCCATTACCAGTTTTCTCTGTAAGGCCTTTGCAGAGTTGTACACTAAAATAAAAAAGGTTATTTATATTAGTTTATCTGATTTTCTTTTAGATTACAATGGATAAATGTAGTGCTATAAAAAAACATTTGAAGTTTGAACATGTAAACAAGTTGAGTGTATACAAGTCAGAAGTTGTGATGAGAAATATTCCCATAAAATAATGGGAACTCTAAATCTCTGAGGTTTAGTTCAGTTAAGCAATTAAAAACTACTTTGTGCGGAAAATATTTTAGCATTTTTGATGGCAAGACTGATGCAATTCCAAACTTATTGTAATTGTATTGCAAAGTGTACCAGCCTTTAAATACAGAACAAGCAGTAAATCACATGAAGTGGGAAGTGAGAAATCTTTGTTTCTTTGACAATTTTTCAGCACAACTCATGTTTCTTCCACTACAATCGTAGGAAGTGTAACAGCACTTTATCACACACTGACCCTTTTAGTATCGGAAAGTTTATCAGTAGAAAACAGACCTCAACAGCTATGAGTTTCTTAACTCCATCATGGATAAACAGTTGATAGATTAGATAGATAGATTAGATAGATAGATTAGATAGATTAGATAGATAGATAGATAGATAGATAGATAGATAGATAGATAGATAGATAGATAGATAGATCTAAACGTGTAACCAGCAGTATGATGCTCACACAGTTGTGTTTTGTTTTTATTTTAATTTCAGCAGGTGACTCCTTGGTCCATTGGGAAGCCAATGTCAAAACAAGCGGCACAACAACAAGTTATCTTTGCTTTGGTTATACCTAAAGGTTAAATAAAATAGTGGTCAGCTCCAGGTTTATTCATACTTTTGCAGTTTTGGTCACTAAACACCWATACTTCTGTGGGCATGAAAAGGCACAGGTGACAATTCATACTGACCTTACTATCCACTCCTTTGTTTGTTGTTTGTTTCTCTTGCCTTTTGTATTTTTAAAACCTGTTTTCAAAATCTCTAGTTCTTAAACAAAACCTCATCTAACCCCCACCACTGGCTCTAACCCTAGACAAGTACACACACATACATGAGTTTTGCACACAAGTAAATGTCGTCCACCACAGTTTTCTGTTGTCACTAGTTTGAGGTGGTGCACTTCAGTGCAGGCCTATTTTTCCACCAAATGTGCAAGGCCTGCAGTATCTGATAGCAGCTAAGGCTGTTGATGTGCCTATAACAGAATATGCACGATGATGGAATTGCTCAACAGAACCTGTTAAATTTATATTTGTGCAACATTTTCTCTTTTCATGTGTCTATTCAGTTCTGATTCCCAGATCATGTTGTCAGGGTCGTTCCAAGATTACCTGCTTAAACATGTGTGCTACTAGAGTACAGAGTGATTTGTACTTGCTGATGTCATATTTATATATAGTCTGATTCTGTATCAACACATCAAAAACGTGACATTAATTTTAAGCTATTTAGTCAGCTAAGAGAACTGCAGTGAAGTTGTGCGAACACTACTAAGCTAACGATTAGCATAGCAACACCAATATGGCTAGTTGCCGCTACGCATACATACCTTTTTTCATAAACCAGTTAAAACGTTTTAATAAACTCAACACAGTTCATGAGTGTTGTCACATGCTTCCAGGGTCATATTGTTACATATTTATGCTAATGGTGCGAGACACCAAAGCCTTTTAGCTAACGTTACCGCTAACCAGCTGCACCACCACATACTCGTTGTTTCCCTCCACATGATTATTTCTGTTCAATGATATAAAAACTAGTTACCAAGTTTTGTCTTGTTCCATTAAAACCGATTCGTAGTTTTATGGTAGATATTGTCGAAATTGAAATATTATTGTTATCACATTAGCACCATTTATTTTCAAGTTTAGCAGCCAACTAGATCAATGTTAGCAAATAAGCTACAAGGATTTAGCTTAGCTTCGATAGCCTGCCGTGTTTACAAAACACTGTCTTGATAGTTGGCGTGAAATAATTTGTTTTGTTAAGTTCAATTGGTCAGTTCTTATTCACATAATCCATGACTTATATTTGCATTTATTTCCACAATGTTTTAAGTTAAGCCTCTTGAGCTGTTTGCTAACATTACTCCTCGCTAGCTACACAGCTAACGCATCGGAAAGTTAGTATTGTTAGCTGCCAATCGTTTCGTTTTATACAACCCGTAAACAAAGGAAGCACTTTAATAAAGTAAAGCTATACTCACAATTCGTGTTTTCCTGATTTTTCCCAGTTTTTAATCCATTCGCCAGGTAGTACAAGTGTCGCCATCTTCAATATACACTGCCCGGATGTCTAGTTCTTCATCATCATGGAGCACGCAGGGTCAAATGTGGTTAGCTGCAGTTAGCTGTTGTTGCTAACTGTGTTGCAGAGCGCGCGACTGCAATGTCTATGCAGAACTTTACATAAAACATAAACGATGCCTTTTCCACACAATGACTTGTTAGTTCGAAATACCAATTGAAAAATGCATTCATTTTCTAAGCATAACAAAGTCAATACAACACTGATTTTAAAACTTACTAAAACCATAAACATTTGGACCACAATGGAAATAAGTGATTCTCACTTTCTTGTGTTATCCAAGTACTATTGAATTAACTAGATGTGTATGTACAAGCAATATTACTGCTAAATAAAACCAATCAATCAACTTTTCATTACAGACACAATTTGTACCCTTTCAGCTAACTAAAACAAAGCTACATTTCTCATGAAAAATGATTCAATTAAAAGCAGCTTGATGGATATTTGCATGACTTATTGTGAKAAAATAACAAAAGATTTGTCATTTGCATTATATTTGTGTTTCAAAGTGTTTGACCTAAATKTGTGTCAGGTTCTTTCAAGCTTTTCAAGTTTGGAGCTGTTGGAGGATCCATGGTAAAGGTGAAAGTCCATTTCCATGCAGCTTCTTGTTCCTGTGACTGCAGTTGCCATGAAGTACATGACACTGGAAACTAGTCAACGTCTTGAGACATGGACGCAAAAGGAAATGCAACCCCAGGTTAACCAATCTAATGAAAGATGTTATTACTCATTATATGTCATTATTAGATGTTATTACTCATTATAACTCTTTTCAATATCACTTATTAACTGTGCAATACACGTTATGTGTGATATGTATAATGTGCAATCATCTAAGCAATATTACCACCTGTGAGATGCTGCATACATCATCATCCTACTTGCATATTTTACTATTCGCTCGGTTTCTGTTGTACTTTAAAAATATTACATTTAAATTGTTTTGCATTTTTATTGCATGCCATTACTACTTGATTTTACAGTGAGTAGAACWTTTTTACTAATATCAACACAATGAACTGTGTTAAGTTGCTTATGACAAATAAATCAATCCAATCCAGATGGTAGAAWAATAAATAATAGGAAAAAAATAAAGAAACCATCCAGGTCAAGGTACATCACTTTTTGATTGCATGTTTTTGCATGCAATTGCAATGGAATGCTGACAAGCCCAAAAGTTTCTGAGACTGATGAGACAAAGCTGGAGCTATTTGGACAGTTGCATCTTTATTTTTTATTTTATTTTATTTATTTTATTGTATTTTTTTGCGTTAGGGTACCAACAAATGTTAACTTGCATCTTTAAACATTATCTAAAAGATCTGCAATATGTTTCCAAATTCAGACATGTTTATTGTTCAAAATGAAAATGAACACAAACAAGAATGAACCTTTTAGCAGTCGAAAAAAAATAACTGGAAAAACAGAAAGATGGTTTCAATTATTAAAACTTTSAAGCATGCACACCAAATCACTCTCTGTGGATTGACAGCCATGTCAAAAGTAGTTTTAGAGGATTTATTTGGTTATGTTACATCTCCAGACATAAATACAAATATTAAAGGATGCAATGGGCACTTTGTAAATAGAATAAAAACACAAATTTAATATATGCAAATATTTAAATATGTATAAACATACATATGTACGCACATGTTCAGCAGTTTGATGACAAACAAAAATGATCAAAAATGACACGATTTATGTAGATTTACAGGCATTTCTATGAAGTACTCGTCTCTGTTGCCTAACATGAATATTTAATATGAACATAAGGATTTTTAAGTCCACATCATGTTTTCTGTAGTTTACAGAAACATTTGGAGAAAACTAGGGATTTGTTTCAAGCTACAATGGAGAATAATATCTGCCAACCAGGCCAGTACACAAAGACAAAGAAACAAATTCACAGAAAACAAGATAACCATGCACAGTTGCAAATTAGTGGGTTAATGTCAGAAAAACATTCTTTTGCTTTAGCTATTCCTTTAAAATTCCCACAAAAGTGAAAACAAAAAGATAAGTACCAATTCACACAATATTACACATTTGTAATTGTATAATTTACAATTCCTACAATTGGCCAAAGATTTCGAAGACCTTGTAGTTTGGCATAATTCTATATGTCACCAGTGAAAAACAAAACTAAAACAAAACGTAAACATATATTTAAAAAATCATCTGCACAACTGCAAACCAAACAGGAAAAGCAAAACAAAGAATAAACAACACTGCTTTCTTCACTATTTTTCAAATCCTTTTGTTTCCAAAATGTAAAAAGTGAATATGATGTGTTTATTTTATGTATTATTTAATATTAGTTATTATACAAAGAGGAAAAAATAGTCAAGAGAAGAGATTAAATGTTTTATGTTGGGTCAAGATTTTAGGCATGGTGTTGTAAATGCTTCCATTATTTAGAAAAACATTTTTTTGATCAATTTGTCATATAACTACATTCGTCTAAAGCAATAATTCTGCACCTATTAATTACAGGATAAAGAAAAATAGAAACATACAGCCATATCTATAGTAACACCATTCCATTTCCATTAAAAAGGATTATTTCAGTATCTGTGTGAAATCACATGATTAGAAACAATTATTTTACATCTGATTGTCAATACAAAATAGCTATAAATCAAAATTTATCTATAAGGTATAAAAAGCAGAACACACATTTCTAAAAAATACCATCACAAAGAAATCTGAGAATGCTATATATACCAAGGCCTTTGGACAGTATGACACGCCGGTTCAAATGATACTCTACTGTGCACAGATCTGATTATATGGCCACATGCCATGCCAAAATCTACATTTTACCACGACAAGTGAACACAGTATCACTGACTGTAGTCGTGTAATAAGTGCTGCTTATAAAACTCCTTTATGTTTAATTTGTAGACATTGCATTAGGGAGGCATGGAATTTAGCCTGTAATTATCTCTACATATATGGCTGTATAATTACATTTGAGCTGATTTATTACCTATTTCGGCGACGTTTGATATGATTATAGTCCTAAATCATAAAAGTATTAAGACTTTTGTTTTGAAGTTTTAAAACTGTGTTCATTCCTCCTAAATATTGGCCACTAAGTGAAAACATTTTAATCAAAACAAAAACAACTTAATGTATTAGTAGTCTTGTATTTCAGCTTGTTATTTTCCCTTTATAATATAAAATCTGCCACTGCACTGGCACCTTTCGACACGAGCAGCATCCCATATCGAGTGTGGCAGGTCTGGCCTTGTCATCGTTGACACCAAAGTGCTTTTAGGGCAAACAAATGAGAACAGAATCCTTTTTTTTCCTTTTCTTGCAGCCAGACAAAAGGTTTGGTGTGAAAACAGCAAGAATTTCATATCCAAGCTCAAGTTCTCCCTTGAAATCGTAAAAGATGAAGATATTTGTGTCTTACAGGCCAGTTGTAGTAGTCCATCTCACTTCTCTTCACAGAGTTCACAGACAACGGTCATTTCATTGCCCAACCTTATCTGATCGATAATTCTGCATCCCATTCATGTTAGAACATTGAAACATTGAGGACCTAAAGAAAGAGAAAAAAAGTCATAAAATTTAAATTTTACAAATAAACTAGGTTAAATTTAGCTATTAAGATTTGTTTTTCTTTTTTTTTGTTTAAATAAAAAGAAGAATAAAATAATTATTTGATAGAAGATAATTTGCTCCAACACTTTTGCCTGAAGCGTTTCACTTAGCCTCAGTTTCACTTTCAAGTCCAACAGAAGCCCTGCAACTTTAAATTTAAAAGCATWTATAAAAKGGTCTTTATGGCTACAGTTTGTTTAAACATATGAAACTAGAAACATCTAATGGTCTGGAACCATAGACTTGAATAAGAACACTAGACTGAGCCCTGCCCATCCCGTCCACTGGTAGCGTCTGTGACAGCATGGAGGAGCAGAAACAGACCAAACAGGACAACAGCTCACAGCAAACATAGAAACTAACAGATAAACAGCAGCTGAACCGGATCTGTTTCACAGATTATCGGTCATGTTTTTACAATAAATTAATAACTATGTTAATTTCATTCAACAATCATGTAAAACAGCAGATTTATACCAGAAAAATATATAATTTATAAGTAACAATGATCTAAACCAGACCTGAAGTCAGCCTGTAACTTAGACTTTAGCTAGTTGAAAAATGATGACTTCAGCTAGTAATAAAGTATATTATTATTTCTTCTTAATGTCATAAAAAATAATAAAAAATATTTACCAGTCACATAGAAAATGTTCTCTGTATATCTGTTATGAGATGAAACTTGTCTCTATTAGCTAACCATCTGCTCAGTAGGTCAGGTTCCTCTAACAGAAACCTAAAAATACATTATTTTACACTCTGTAGGTCTAAATATTAATCACAGACATTTATAATATTATTTTACACTCTGTAGGTGTAAATATTAATCAGAGACATTTATAATATTTTTTACACTCTGTAGGTGTAAATACTAATCAGAGGAGAAAGTAATATTTAATAGTTTGTTAAATTGTAACATGATTCAACAGTGCTACACTCTGTATATATGCTCCACAAGCTAATATCTGCTACTCAGTTATATAAATAACAGTGAATACATCAACTTTATAAGATTATTTTAATTTTAAACTGTTACATTATGTTCTGCTCAGATCAYATTGAGCTAAATAAGATCAAATCTGMTGACTTGTGTTGTGAAATGAGACGTTTTCCTGCTTMTCTTCTGTTAATAAATCCATWACACAAACAGCTTTTCTGGCATGATTTAAAACATTAAATAGATTATATAAACTGTAAAATATTAATAATATTTGAGTTAATACTATTATTAATAGTTTTTATGATTTCTACATCGTCCGTCCTTTTTTTCTGCTCTGTCACCAACATGTACAGTAATGGTAAATCCAGACTCTTGAACGTTTTGAGTTAGCTTCACCAGCCGATCACACGGTCACCTGGTTTCTGAGCACTCCAGTGGTTCTACATAACCTCCTTGACTGGAACACAAAAGGTCTCTACAGAAAACTCTTSAAGTGCAGTTTAAAAACAAAAAGGGTGAACAGTATAATGGTTCAGGGTTAATGCTGCAGTCTTAAACTAGTTGTCACATTGCTAGATCAACAATGACAAAAATTTTTAACATTTGATCTTGCAGCTTTTTGTGCTTTTAAAGAAAAGTAATTTAAAAAAGAGCAATGTTTTATGAAAATCAGTTTAGATTGAACTTTTTTGTCTTCTTTTATAATTGAGAATTTTTCCTTGTCATAAAACATTAAGTAAATAAAATACAATAAAAAAAATCCCTCCACTGACACAATAAACATTCTATAACAAGTGGAATAATCTTACCGAATCATCCATTATGGAAGAAGGATCAAAGTAATCTGCTCTCAGCTCAGTCCTTTCCCTTCGATTCTTTGATGCCGGCTGAAAAGTAAACGAATTAAAAATAAATTCACAGCAGCATAAGATGGAAAAAAGAGACAAAATGAAAAAAAGGTTCAACACTCAATCAAAAGTGACAAATTTTTTTATTAAATATTAAAATACAATATATTGTATACTTTAAACGTATAGAACTGATATGACTGAACTGAGGAGTGACATTTTGCTATTTATTGTTAAGATATGGTCCACAGAACTTAGATCCATTTTTCAGAAATTACCAAATCGATGTCCATCGTATTAAAATCCATGCCCTCATTGATGTCTTCTAGGCGGTCCTCTGAAGACATCATCACATCCTCTACGATTGGTTCCTCATCATCCTCCATTAATCCTGACCCTCGACGACTGCAGAGTGAACAGAAGAAATCTGTTAGTAGAGATTTTTCCCCCTGATGTTTATTAACTTACTGTTAAATCTTATTAACGCTCGCTGAAGACCGGTGCTGTCTTACATTGCTTGCTGCATGTGGTTCCTCATCTTGGCATAGTGCATGTTAACCCGCTCTTGGTGCTGACGGGCTTCAGCCTGTTGCCTCTGTGTTAACATCCAGGTGACCTGGGTACTGAGGGACATGGTTCAGTAAATACGTATCATTTTAAAGCAGCTCAGGATTTTCTAAACAACGGCAAGAGCTGCAGGTCTTTAAAGAAAAGTGTTTGTACTTGTAGTCAATGGCAGCCTGGTGTTGGTGGAGTGGGTGCTGTTGTGGAGGAAGGGCTTGATGAGGATGCTGCTCTGCTGGCATGCTGAACGTGGGTGTGTAGCTGTCCTCTGGCCTCATCTTCTTCGGCTCCCTCAGCACCGTGGAAGTGAGGTGAGGTGAATGCATCATGACGGGCGTTGGAACGCTCTGCTCACGGTTCATCCAAACCGCATCACTGCTGCTGCAGCTGTTCTCCTCTGCAAAAAGAAAACAACTCCTTCTAATGTACCRAACAAATGCACCAGCCAGAATAGTTTGACTTATTATTAAACAGCAGGGGATGAAGGAAATGAACCCATTAAAACTTGTTCCAGCATATAGGCACGCCGGGTTTCCATTTTTAACCCACAGCTGTGATTTTAATGAGTCGAGACAAAAAAAGTCATCAAAGAAAACACCTAAAATCAGCTGAAAATATATAAACGAAAGTTGTAAAGAAAGTAATAAATGAGTTTTAGAGGTTGCTGCAGCTGAAGCACATTTTCTTGTTTCACCATTTTGTGGACTGTGTTTGCTATGCGTGCCTGACTCAGTAACAGGAAGAGAAGTTTCACATTTTAGCTGAGTAATTTGCCTTACATTACCTGTACTTTAAAACTCAGTGGAAAAGAAGAAAAAACACAGCTGAAAAAATGGTCTGAGTCCTTAAAAATAATTTAAAACAATGTGCGTTTGGTCAAAATTTGACTTGTGTTGCTTTGGGACCCGCCCACATTTTTCCACTTTTATGAAAAAATACAATTTTTATAAAAAGACAAACTTTAGCATTTCCAGACTTGTGATTTTGTATTTTTTAACACAGTAGCAGAAACAACAAACTAAAACTTAAGGTCTAATATATAAACTTAGCACAAAGTAAGTGAAACTGTGTTTGGTAGATTATTTCTTTGTTGTAATAATAAATCTTATWCTGAGCACCTGAAGGTACCAGAAGATCAAAATCAATAATATCAAAGAAGATTTGGTAAATCTTTTATGTGCACAACCCACATACTCAGCTCTACTGCTCCTCCCACAAATGCATGTTCCTTACAAATGTGGCTCCATTTAAAAGTGAATTAAAAGGCTTTCACACAGTATAAGATTTATTGCCAAGAAGCATTGCTACAACAAAGGAATTATCTACCAAATACATCATTCCTTACTTTTTGTGCTAAGTATATTATATGGTGTATGGTTTTTGCAGTAAATAAATTAAGTAACATTTTAAAAAACTACTCACCTTCAGGCAGTTTTCTTTTGCTTGCAGAAGCTGGTTTCGACTTCTTACTCCTGACGGACCCTCGACTGCTGATCCCACTGATGACAGACATGGTGTCGTCATCTCCTCCAGCCTGAAGCGAGTTCCTGTAGGCGATGAGGGGCATCCAGCAGTCCTCTCTCTGAAGAGCCATCTGAAATGTCATGAATCTCTCCAGGTACATGTGACTGTAGGAGTCAGAGTGACAGTGAATGTTAAAAAGGATTTTCACGGTTCTTCATTAGGTCCGAGCTCACTTCCTGAATCGTGTCACAAACTCACACTGTCCTCTTGTCCTGTCGCATCAGCTTGCTTGAGAACTCACTCAAGATATCCAAAAACGCTAGATTAAGCGGCGGACCCCCTTCTCCTTGAGGACTTGGTTCTTTAAATGCAAACTCGATCCCATTCCTAAAATCAAATAAAATACATTAAAAACAGCTTACTAACACATACTGTATATATTAAAAGTTTTTTTTGTTCTAGACCAGGGGTAACTTTAGCCAAATCAAATGGCTTGATGCATTTATTTGCTTGTTCCATTATAAGACAAAAATTTGTCTTTAACACAGCACACAAATATTTTTTTTAAAGTGGGGCCTTTGGTAGGCCTGTTTCGACGCCTCTGYAATTACTCACTTGTGCAACATAGCTATAGCCTCCCGCGTCTTCAGCTGATCCAAACCAAACGTCAACGAGAAGCGTCGAGCGAGCTCTTTAATGCCACAGAAGGACGAAGATGAGCGGTCAAACGTGAAGCCAAGTTCAGACAACATCTCATTAAATAACTGTAATAAGATACAAAAAATATTAGTTATTGCTCTAGTCTTATAGTCTCATTTTCCTGTATTAAAGTACACCTAAACATACTTTTTTGTAGCAATACTTCATGAATCAAATTAAAATAATACATTTATATAATACTGTATATACGCACACAACATACTAGAACTATATTTTCTAAGACAGTTGTGAAGTTTTCTGAAAGGTGACAAAGTATTAAATATATAACTTTTCTGTTTGAACATTTCTTTACTGACAGAATTACTGATTGCTGTGTGCAAAAAAAACATACTTTACAAGGTTGACAGATGTATGTTTAACATTTTCCTCCTATTACAATATGCTTAAAATTGAACTAGTTCCCATCTGATCTCTTTTAAATAAACAAATTTTCCATAAAACTGAGACTAATTTTCAGATTTATTGTTACACATATTTTAAAGAGGAGTACAACACTATTATAGAAAATGAAACTCTATTAAAACCTAAGGTTGATGTTGAGGTGAAAGTAGGCTTTAATGAATCTACCTGAACATTACCTTTTGCAGGCTCATGATGAGCGTCTTTGCACACTGTATTTTGTCAATTTGTCTTGTTTTACTCATTGTTTCTTTGATTATATCACCGTAATCGTTGTAATACTGTGAAGAGAAGAAAAGCTGTGAAAAAAGCTGCAGATGTAAATAATCCTTTTACATTACAAAATGATTTATACTTACTCTCATGTACTGTTTAAATATATCTGCGCCGGTATTCATTTCAACAACATTGTAAATGATTAATTTGCAGTAAGCAGCAAGAAGGTTCCTCCGCTTGTGAAGCGCTTCGATTTTGCTGGCTTCATCATCTTGTCCATCTGTGGGGAATAAATAAACCAAAATAAATAAATAAATAATTATATATGTTGGACTAACACAAGACTGGGTAACAAATTCAAACCTGTGCTGTTGCCGTCGTCATCCTGATCGATGAAAACGTGATCCAGGATGAAGTTGAGCAGCTCTGCCTGCAGAGAGGAGTCTGGCACATAGACCAGACACTCCAGCTGCTCCCGGCCTGATGACATCATTTGGTGACTGAAGATCAGCAGCAGATCACACAGTATGGTAAAAGCCTGGAAATAACACATCACGTACAAATACACGCTGACCAAATTTTCAATTACAGTAAAGAAAAACAAAAAAATAAAAGTCAGAACTGATTTAAAAAACGTCATTCATCATCCACATCCCACCTGCTCTTTGACTGCAGTGTTGATGCTGTTTAGGTAACGCTGACACATCAAGCAGAAAGCTCTCATTTGCTTTCTCAGCATCACCATATCACCCTAAAACAAGCAGATGATAAGTAAGGCAGTCCTGGAACAGATATATAGAGATACTTTCAAATCAAGAAATTAACTTTTAAGATTGTCAGAAAGTTGAGAGACCTACATGGGGCTGCACAATTGAGAAAAAAACTGACATTGTGATTTTTTTTCTAASCCYTCATTGTGAAATGAAAAACAAGTGGAGAAGTTTGGTAACGCTTATCCTGCTGTCACGATGGCTCTAAATAAACAAACAATGCTTAGCCTAGCAGGGGAGCGAGTGCGGACTGGTGGGCTGCAAGGTCAATAATACACTGGGGGGAACCCTGCCTATTGTTTAGTCTCTAGACTAAACAGTAGTTAACAGTTGTTAAAAAGATACACACAAAAAAAGCTGATACCTTTATAGAACTGCAATCTGAAACCTTAGTCAGATTCCACAGGACGATGTAATGTGTGCACTGCATCGCATGAATCACAATCTAAAAGGAAGAGAGGATGAGTTACAATATTTCATGTAGTGCTTTACTACAGACTTAGATATGTTTCTATGAACAGTTTCAAAAGGTTAATGCAAAACTATTTGCGCTCGACCCTAACATATGTGCATCAATAAACATTTAGAAATCATTTAATCATGTTTATAGTTGAAATGTTGATAGATAATAGTTTAACATTTCAGAAAAGTTACTGACGTTTAAATACGACAACATACCTGCTCAAGCATATCACCATTCTGCAGACCGGTGCTGAGCAGCCTGTAGTTGCTCGTGAAGAGGTCCCACTTTGAGAGATCATGTGCACTAGGAATAAAAAAAAAAAGAAAAGAAAATTAAAGGTCTGTCATTTCTTTTAAGAAAATATATCAGCTGCCATCTTTCATGTCAGAGTTTTAAACTGAGATTCTTTTGTCTTGAGAAATGGAAATATTATAGTCATTTTGGTCAAACCTTGAAAACAACACAATGCCTGATCTTGTGCTCAGAGTATGTGTTGGGKATGACTTTCAGCTTCTACCACATGAAATTATTACCTAATATCTGTAAAACTGACTGAGCTAAAGCCATTTTTGTCTCGGCTAAGTTTAATTAGCCACATGTTGCACTGGCTCCAAAAGTTAACTAGCTGTAGATGTACACCTAATGATTACTTTATGAGGTTTACTTTAAGATCTGCTCACTGGTTCACAAGATATTTTGYTAACAGACTRACCCACATGCAGACAAAGGCAAAAACATAATTTTCTGCTTTTTGGCAGTGGATGATAATAAAACGTTTTTGTTTTTTTACATGTAATGTAAACATTTTTGACAACCTACACTCCTATAACCTCAAACTTTGTGTAATAGAACTAATACTTTTATGTTTAAACTAGTTATTCATGACATCCTTTAATGACCTAGGTTTTCATGACATGCTGTTCATCTGCAGA